TGGGTTCCAGTGATTCTCCTGCCTCAACCTCTCGAGTAGCTGGGATTACAGGTGTGCACCACCACACCTGGCTAGTTTTTGTGTTTTTAGTAGAGATGGAGTTTCCCCATGTTGGCCAGGCTGGTCTTGAACTCCTGACCTCAGATGATCCACCCACTTCAGCCTACCAAAATGCTAGGATTACAGGCATGAGCCGCCGCACCGGGCAGGAAAATATCTTGAAGGAAATTAATAGTTCTACTCCAGTGAGCACATGAATGAAAAGAAAGCAAAATAGTCTTATTGCTGATATAGAGAAAGTTTGAGTGGTCTGGTTAGAAGATCAAACCAGCCACAACATTCCCTTAAGCCAAAACCTAACCCAGAGCAAGGCCCTGACTCTCCTGAATTCTATGAAGGCCAACAGGGGTGAGGAAGCTGTAGAAGAAAAGTTGGGGCCGAGTGTGGTGACTCATGCCTGTAATCCCAGCACTTTAGGAGGCTGAGGTGGGTGACTCATGGATGATTCTGGGAAGTTTGAGACTTCAGTGGACGAAGGAACTGCAGGTATAGCAGAACTACCAAGAGAACTAGAATTAGAAGTTCAGCCCAAAAATGGGAGTGAATTGCTCAACCCATGATCAAACTTGAATGAATGAGCAATGTCTTCTCATAACTGAGCAAAAAAGTCAGCTTCTTCCGATGGGATGTACTCCTGGTGAAGATACTCTGAACATTGTTGAAACAACAGCAAAAGATATAGATTACTACACAAAAACCTAGTTCATAAAGTAGCAGCAGGGTTTGAGAAGGTTGACTCTAATTTCAAAAAAAGTTCTGCTATGTGGAAAATGCTATCAAACAGCATCACATGCTGCAGTGAAGTTGGAAGTCAATTGATGCTGCAAACTTCACTATTGTCTTATTTTAAGAAATTGCCACAGCCATCTCAACCTTCAGGATCAGTCGGCAGCCACCAACATTGAGGCAAGGCCCTCCACTAACGAAAATATAATGACTTACTGAAAACTCAGATAATCATTAATATTTTTAATCAATAAAGTACTTTTAATTTAAGGTATCTACACTGTTTTTGTAGATGTAATAGGAGGCACACTTAAGAGACTACAGAGGCTGGGCACGATGGCTCACACCTCTAATCTCAGCACTTTGAAGGCTGAGGTGGGTGGATCATTTGAGGTCAGGAGTTCAAGACCAGCCTGACCAACATGGTAAAATCCCATCTTAACTAAAATACAAAAATTAGCCAGGGGTGATGGTGCATGCTTGTTATCCCAGCTACTTGGGAGGCTGGGGCAGGAGAATCACTCGAACCCAGCAGGTAGAGTTTGCAGTGAGCCGAGATAGCACCACTGCACTCCAGCCTGGTCAACAGAGCGAGACTCTCTCTCAACAATAAATAAATAATAAGAGACTACAGAATAGTGTAAACATAACTTTTTTTTTAAAGGCAGGGTCTCACTAAAAGAGGCTAGAATGCAGTGGCCTGATCACAGCTCACTGTAACCTTGAACACCTGGGCTCAGGTGATCCACTTGCCTCAGCTTCATGAGTAGCTGGGACTGTAGGTGTGTGCCACCACATCCGGATAATTTTTTTTATTTTTAATTTTTTAGAAAGAGTCTTGCTGTATTTCCCCAGTCTAGTCTCAAACTCCTGGCCTCAAGCTATCCCCCTGCATTTACCTTCTAAGCGCTGGGATTACAGGCACATTGTGTCCCGCCTAAACATAACTTTTATTATTTTACTTTTACTTATTTATTTACATTTTGAGACAGAACCTCATTCTGTTGCCCAGACTGGAGTGTAGTGGCACAATCTCGGATCTCTGTAACTTTTGCCTCCTGGGTTCAAGAGATTCTCCTGCCTCAGCCTCCTGAGTAGCTGGTGTTACAGGTGCACACCACCACGCCTGGCTAATTTTTGTATCTTTATAGAGACTGAGCTGGTCTTGAACTCCTGACCTCAGGTGATTCGCCCGCCTTGGCCTCTCAAAATGCTGGGATTACAGGCATAAACCACTGCACCGGACCCTAAACATAACTTTTATATGCACTGGGAAACCCAAAAATCTGTGTGACTCCCTTTATTGCAACATTCACTTTATTGCAGTGGTCTGAAACTGAATCTGCAATATATTTGAGGTGTGCCTATATACAATAGCATTTCTATTTTTTTCTTTTCTTTCTTTTTTTTTTTTTTTTAATAGAGACAGAATCTCACTTACTGTCCAGGTTAGTCTCAAACCCCTGGTCTCAAGTGATCTTCCTGCCTCGGCTTCTCAAAGTGTTGTGATTACAGGCATGAGCCAGTGCACCTGGCCAGCATTTCTATATGATAACAGTCATTTATTAAAATATTATTAAAATAAGCCTGGGCGTGGTGGTTCATGCCTGTAATCCCAGCACTTTGGGATGCTAAGCCTGGTGGATCACTTGAGTCCAGTAGTTCAAGACCAGCCTGGCCAAAATGGTGAAACCCCGTTTCCACTAAAAACACAAAAATTAGCTAACCGTGGTGGCACACGCCTGTAATCCCAGCTACTCAGGAGGCTGAGGCAGGAGAATCACTTGAACCCAGGAGGTGGAGGTTGCAGTGAGCCAAGATTGTGCCACTGCACTCCAGCCTGTGTGACAGAGTGAGACTTCATCTCAAAAAAAAAAAAAGAAAGAAAGAAAGAAAGAAAACACAGATAAAATAAAGATATTTTCAGACATACAAAGGCTGAGAGGGTTCGTCACCAACAGAACTGCACTACATAAAATATCAAATAATTTTCTCACACTGGAGGAAAATGATAACAGATGAAAATCTGGATTGACAGAAAGAAACAAAGAGCATAGGAAATGAAAAGTACATAGATAAGCATATAAGACTTTTATTGCTATTGAAATCTCTGTAAGCATAAGTCACTGTTTAAACAAACACAGCAACAAACTAGAAAGAGAAGGAAACTTCCTCAACTTGACTATGAGCAACTATGGAAACCCCAACATAGAGGATTAAACTGTGTCCTCAGAAATATATGTTCAAGTCCTGACTTCCGGTACCTGTAAATCTGGTCTCATTTGGAAATGGGTCTTTTCAGATGTTATCAAATTACAGCAAGATCATTCTGGGTTAGCAGGGGCCCTACATCTAAGGACTGAGATATTTATATGAGAAAAGGGAGGGTCTATTAGTCCTTTGTCCCACTGCTATAAACAACTACCTGAAGGCTGGGTGCTGTGGCTCACACCTGTAATCCCAGCACTGGGTGGCCGAGGCAGGTGGATCACGAGGTCAGGAGTTCAAGACCAACTAGGCCAACATGGTGAAACCCCATCTTTACTAAAACTACAAAAATTAGCCAGGCACAGTGGCAGGCACAAGTAATCCCAGCTACTCGGGTGGCCAAGGCAGAATGTTTTTATTTATTTAAAAAAAATAAAATATAAATAAAATAAATTTGGCTCATGACTGGGGCTCCCTATGACCTATAAGACCAAGAACAACTCCGTTTCTACATTCAAAGCTCTTCACAGTCTTCCCCAAACTCCTTCCACCTCTCCTCCCTATCTTTTATTATAGTTAGAGCCACTTGATTGATTTCCTGTTCTCCAAGCAGGCCAGTCACCTTTTTTGTTCAGACTTCTCCCTCTGCCTGGAATGTTCTTCTTCCCTTCCTCCCTGGGCAACTTCCCCCCATCTTCCAAGACCCAATGCAGAGGATGGGTTCACTTCAGGGTCCTCCCAGTACCTAGAATCCAGTCTGTCATTTTGGTGAATAATTAATAATTATTATTATTTAATAATTAATCAGATCAAGGATATCTTCCCAGAGTATCCAACATAGACTCTCCCACCACCCGGCCCGCCTGCTCCCTGCACATCTCCTCCCTGCTATGTTGGAACTTCTTGAAGTGAGGCTTCATTTCTTTCTTTTCTTTTTTTTTTTTTTTTTTTGAGCCTCACTCTGTCACAAAGGCCGGAGTGCAGTGGTGCAATCTCGGCTCACTGCAACCTCCGCCTCCCGGGTTCCAGCAATTCTCCTGCCTCAGCCTCCCGAGTAGCTGAGACTACAGGCGCCTGCCACCACACCTGGCTAGTAGAGACGGGGTGTCTTCACCGTGCTAGGCTGGTCTTGAACTCCTGACCTCAGGTGATTCACCCCCGTCAGGCTCCCAAAGTGCTGGGATTACAGGCGTGAGCCACCGCGCCTGGCTGCGTTTCTTTTCTTTTTTTAGAGGAGTCAGGCTGGAGTGTAGTGGCACGATAGCTCACTGCAGCCTCAAACTCCTGGGCTTAAGTGTACCTCCTGCCTTGGCCTCCTGAGTAGCTAGGACTGCAGGCGTGCACCACCACGCTGGGCTATTTTTTTTTTTTTTTTTGTAGAGACGGGGTCTTGTTACATTGCCCAGGCTGGTCTCCAACTCCTAGCCTCAAGCGATCCTTCCACCTTGACCTCCCAAAGTGCTGGGATTACAGCTGTGAGCCACCGCGCCTGGCACAGGCTTTATTTCTTATGCTCCTTCCCTTTTCTTCAATGCCTTTTTAGCTCTGCACCTGGCCCGTAGAGGTGCTCAATACGTGTTTGTTGAATGAATGAATGAATGAATGAGCGAACGTGCCATTTTCACCTTATACATCTTATGAACCCGCCAAACCCGGGCCTGATGTCATAGCCTCTAACCTTGGCCTGAGTCTCCAGTACCGCCGGGACACCACCCTCCCCTACCCAAGCCCCGCCCCCTTCCCCACCGGGGGTTCCTCCCGCCACCCACCCCCCCCCCACCCACACCCCCCCACCCACACACCCCCACCCACACAACCCCCCAACGCCAGACCCTTTCCCCGCCCACTTCCCCTCCTCCACCCAGCCCCGGGGCTGCTCAGCCTGCTGCTTTGCCGGGGGCGTCCCCGCCCACAGCCAGGATTGGAAGACGGAGGCAACGCCCACCCCGCCTGGCGGCCTCCTGTTGGCGCGGCCGCCGGCAGGGGCGGGGACAGAGCCGGGCGGCAGTTGGGGCCATCCCGGCTAGAAAATCACAGCCCCGTGGCTGGCGCGACCCTGACCGCACGGCCAGGCAGAGGTGAGTACGCGGTGGCCGGACGGGCGGGACATGCGCTGAGGACTCCGAGAACCGTCAGAACCGTCGCACGCGTTCACGTCCGCGTCCCCAAGGGCTGCGCTCAGCCAAGCGCAGTGCCCGGAGCTCGGAGCCGGCCCGGCCTGGGGGACCCTGCTGGCCGAGGAGGTCGTCAGTCCCGTCTTGTCTTCCAGATCCGGAAGACGAGGCTTCCCGACAAGGAACCGCCCAACATGGCCTCGGAGGTGAGTGGACCTCGGGGATGCCGGTCCTTCCAGTCTCCAAATGAGACGGTGGGGTGCCAGACCTGCTTCGGGCCACCCCGCTGGGAATCGCCCTCCAGGAAGCCTGCACCCCCAGCCCTCCCCGGCGCATCTGCTGGAGCTCAGCAGTCACCTTTACCGGGACTCACCAGTGTCCCCAGGCAGCCCTTGTGGCAAACTCACCAACCCACACTACTAGGAGTAGAGTGGCTCTGCCTTTACCTTGCAGTGATGCCTGCCTGGCCAGGAAAAGTGCTCCCACGCCTGCAGCCGCCAACCTTTCATGCCTTCTTTCCAAGTATCCTTCCGTTAGGCTCCACCCCCCACCACACCCCTTCTCCTGCTACAGCAATTGTCCCTGTTTATAGAATAAGGCTTAGCACCTAAAGTGTTCTTGTCCTTGACTGTGGCATGTGGAAGGAGCCAGGCAAGGGGGGAACCTCACCCTGCGGCTCTGGCAACCCAGTTGCCTGGTCCCTTCCTGTCTCACTGGACCCTGCTCCTCAGGGTCAGCGGCTCCTGGCTCTCTTCCTGACCAGAGATTCCGGAGTCCCAGGCATAGGTTTCCTTCCTTGGGCCTCAGTTGATATATCTGGCAATGGGGGTAATAATAGCTGTTGGCCTGCCTCTGTAAGGAACTGGATCGTGAGGCCATTGCATTGGACCCTTCAAGTGAAAGGGGCTGTTTGCCTGATGCTTGATGAGGGGAACCCTGGGAATCAGGAAGTCTGGGTTCCAGCCCCTTCTGGCCCTTATTAGCTAGCAATTCACTCCCTCTTTCTCAGAGCCCTGCAAGCTTCTGGGTCATGGGGGAGGGCATGGGGGAAGGGCCTGGACTTTGGAGCCAGACAGACTTGTTTTCTGTACCAGTCACTTGAGCCCTCTGAACCGCTTTCCTCATTTGTGAAATAGGGGTAATATTGCCCACCTCATAAAAGGGCATAATAACATATGCTGAATCCCTAACACAGGGCTGAGCAACAGTAGATGCTCAATAAATCATGGCTAACCACAACAGTACTGCTATTTCTACTTGGGGAGACCAAGGCGGGAGCATTGCTGGAGCCCAGGAAATCCATACCAACCTGGGCAACATAGTGAGACCCTGTCTCTACAAAAAAGTTTTGAAAATTACCGAGGCGTGGTGGCATACACCTGTAATCTCATGGGAAGCAGAGGTAGGAGGATCATTTGAGCCCTCGATTTTAAGGCCGCAGTGAAGATGATCTCTCCACTGCACTCCAGCCCAGGCAACAGAGCGAGATCCAGTCTCACAAAAAAAGTAAGAAAGAAAACCCGCCAGACATGGTGGCTCACACCTGCAATCCCAGCACTTTGGGAGGCTGAAGAGGCCAAATCATCTGAGGTCAGGAGTTTGAAACTGGCCTTGCCAACATGGTGAAACCAGTCTCTACTAAAAATACAAAAATTAGCTGGGCATGGTGGCAGATGCCTGTAGTCCAGCTACTTGGGAGGCAGAGGTAGGAGAATCACTTGAGCCCCGGAGGCGGAGGTTGCAGTAAGCAGAGATCATGCCACTGCACTCCAGCCTGGGTGACAGAGCGAGACTCCATCTCAAACACACACACACACACACACACACACACACACACACACACACACAAACTAAAACTGATACTTCCCATGTACGTTCAACCTTGACTGTTGCTCATTCAACCCAGCCTAACTCAGTGCCCCATCCCCTGGCCCTGAAGTGACCATTCTGGCCCAGATGTGTCTTGGCTTGGAGTAACACCTTCTGCTACCACACTGGGCCTCCCCTCTCCTCAGTACCCAAGGGGAGGCACCTCACTCTGATCTCCCCAAGGGGTCCTATTCTGTCTGCCAGTAAGGGTCGGAGCTTGGTCCTAGAGCAGAGTGGTTTTCCCGCCAACCAGCCCAGCACTCCAGGTGACCTCAGCTTGCCCCAGGCCTTCCTGTAGGATGGCACTATTTGGTTTGGCTGCAGCCCCGCTTATTAAGTAGTTGTTATTACTAACAACCAGGCAGGGTGGCCCAGGAGCCTCCTGGGAGAGGTGGTGCCAGGCTCCCAGCTGAGGGGCAGGCTGGCTCCAATTATGACTGGCTGGCCCCAGTGATCAGGACCAGGGCCCCTCGTGGCACTTTGCTGGAGATCTAGGCTTGGTGGGGCAGCTGTGGGGTAAGGGGCAGGACCAGCTCACAAGACCGGGTCGGGGTGGAGGCTGCCTCTGCAGGGCAGAGTCCTTTGGCAGCCAGGGTTGTTGGGCATGGAGGGGCCAGCTCACAGCTCAGGAACAGAGCACTGTAGAGGTCTCTGGAATGCACTCAAGAACTAGGAGTGGAGCTGAAGCACATCCTGTCCCCTGCCAGCCCTCCCCTAGTAACAGCTGACATTTCCCAAGTCCTACCTGAGCACCAGGCACCGTGTTATGTATGCAATTTACAAATGTTGTCTGATTGAACACTCACAACAAGGCTATCATAGGTAGTATTATTATCCTTATCTTATTTTTTTTTTTATTTTTTTAAGATGAAAGCTCACTTTTGTCTCCCAGGCTGGAGAGCAATGGCATAATCTCGGTTCACTGCAACCTCCGCCCCCTAGGTTCAAGCCAGTTCTCCTGCCTCAGCCTCCCAAGTAGCTGGGACTACAGGCACCTGCCACCACACCTGGCTAATTTTTGTATTTTCAGTAGATACGGGGTTTCACCATGTTGGCCAGGCTTGTCTCAAACTCCTGACATCAGGTAATCCGCCTGCCTCAGCCTCCCAAAGTGCTGGGATTGCAGGTTATAAACCGTACCCAGCCTTTTTTTTTTTCCTTTTTCAGAAAGTGTCTTGCCCTGTTACCCAGGCTGGCATGCAATGGCTCCACCTCTGCTCACTGCAACCTCTGCCTCCAGGGTTTTAGCGATTCTCCTGCTTCAGACTCCCAAGTAGCTGAGACTACAGCTGCCCGTCACCATGCCTAGCTAATTTTTGTATTTTTAGTAGAGACTGGGTTTCACCATGTTGGCCAGTCTGGTCTCAAACTCTTGACCTCAACTGATCCACCTGCCTCGGCCTCCCAACCCTGAGGTTTAATAATAGGCCCCAGGCCAGGTGGCAAACAGGGGTCTGGGGCATTTCAGGGGGATAGAGGAGGACATATGTCCCCATTGGCCACTGTAGACTCCCTTCCACAAAAAGGACACCAGTGCAGTGACATACCCACCTCCACTCCACCCTTTCCTCAGTCCTTGGCACTCTGGGCACTAGGACTGTTCCCCAGGTGCTCTGTACCCCCTCCCCAATCTGTCCCATGCCCTGGCCTCTGCCCTCTTTCAAAACATAGATATGCCGGCGCCTTGGTTCATGCCTGTAATCCCAGCACATTGGGAAGCTGAGGCTGGAGGATTGCTTGAGCCCAGGAGTTCAAGACAGCCTGGACAACATAGTGAGACCCTGTCTCTACAAAATTTTTTTTTTAATTTAATCTGGGTGTGGTGGCGCATGCCTGTAGTTCCAAATACTGGGGAGGCGGAGGTGGGAGGATTGGTTGAGCCCAGGAGTTTGAGGCTGCAGTGAGCTATGATGGTGCCACTGCACTCTAGCCTGAGTGAGACCCTGTCTCTAAAAAAGAACCTTAAAAATAAAGTTTAAAGAACAAAAAGGGTTGGGCACTGTGGCACATGCCTGTAATTCCAGCATTTTGGGAGGTTGAGGCAGGTGGATCACCTGAGGTCAGGAGTTTGAGACCAGGCTGGCCAACATGGTAAAACCACTTCTCCACTAAAAATACAAAAATCAGCCGTGTGTGGTGGCATGCGCTTGTAATCCCAGCTACTTGGGAGGCTGAGGCAGGAGAATCGACTTGAACCTGGGAGTCAGAGGCTGCAGTGAGTCAAGATTGTGCCACTGCACTCCAGCCTGGGCAACAGAGGGAGGCTCTGTCACAAAAAAGAACAAAACGTAGATGCCTACATACCATCCTCTTCCCTTGGCTCCTGGGGAGCAAGGCATCACCCAGCGACCTCCTAGAAGGGCAGTAACAAGGGAGGGTGTCAGGGTGCTCTTCAGAGCCCAGGGACTGGTAGGAATTGGGATCTTATTTCAGCTCCAGGCTGTGAGGGAGAGAGTTGCAGGGCACTCAAACTTAGTGGAGACCCTCAATGCCTCTGTGCTTGTTCCTGCAGCAAAAGTTCAGGACACCAGAGCCAAGCCCAGAGGCCCTGGTAGAACAGCGGTGAAGAGCATGGGTTCTGACTTCAGACTGCTGTGCTGCAGCCCTGGCTTTCCCATCCTGGGTGAGGGCAGGCTGGATGCCTCTCTGTGCCTCAGTTTTTCCCTCTCCATAGTGGAACTGTATTGGTGCCTACCCCAGATGGTTGTGTCAGCAATTAAGATGGCACCCGGCACCTTGGTCAGTGGCAGGAAAGGTTCCAGACGTTTTGCTGTGGTCCCAGGGGTGTCTTGGGCCCTGCCACCATCTCCTTGGAGTGGTGCCATGTGGTGGGAAAGAACCCCAACTTCAAGGCCAGACACAGTGGCTCATGCCTGTAATCCCAGCACTTTCAGAGGCCGAGGTGGGAGGATCACCTGAGATCAGGAGTTCAAGACCAGGCTGGCCAACATGGTGAAACCCTGTCTCTACTAATAATACAAAAATTAGCCGGGTGTGATGGTGAGCACCTGTATCCCAGCAACTGGGGAGGCAGAGGCAGGAGAATCTCTTGAACCCAGGAGGTGGAGGTTGTAGTAAGCTGTGATTGTGCCACTGCACTCCAGCCTGACCAATGGAGCAAGACTCCGCCTCAAAAAAAAAAAAAACCCAAATTTTGGTGTCCAGTCACGTTCCCACACTCACCCCCAGGGTGACCCTGGCAAGGTCTCAGCCTCCTTGTCTGCCCAGTTAGAATGATCTGATGCCCCGCTACCATCAGCCTTGATAAGTTTCCCGAGAATTCTTTGCAAGAGGCACTGTTCTTGGGGGTGGAGAAGAGACTAATTGTTTCTTCTTTCCTGGCCAGAGCAGGAAGCTGTGAGGTGGCCGTTCTGTGAGCACAGTGGACTCCCTCATGGAGAAGTTCAATGCGTCCATCGCCTATGACTGGCACCTGTGGGAGGTGGATATTCAAGGCAGCAAAGCCTACAGCAGGAGCCTAGAGAAGGCAGGGCTCCTCGCCAAGGCCGAGGTGGACCAGATACTCCATGGCCTAGACAAGGTACTCACCTCAGCCCAAGCCCCACCCAAGGCCCCTCCCTGTGGCCCCAGGCTCCCACCAAATCCCTGAGCAAATAGTGCAGTGTTGTCTGTCTGTGGTTTCACGTTGAACTAATTGTGTACTCAAGTGCTATTTAACTGTGTGCCTTGATGACTGCCTCTCTCCATCCTTTAATGACCTCGGTGGCCCACATGGCTCATGGGTGAAGGTGTGCTGGGCTTGAGATGCCCCCTCCCAGGGTGTGCTTCCAGGACTCTCACAGGGACAGTCAGTCATCAGGGATCGGGTGGGACCAGGGCAGGGGCTCTCTTGGCTGCTGATACCTGCTCACCTGACCCACGGCATTGCTGTCACCTGCTATAGGTGGCTGAGGAGTGGGCCCAGGGCACCTTCAAACTCAACCCCAATGATGAGGACATCCACACAGCCAAGTAGCGCTGCCTGAAGGCATGACCCCTGCAGCGCCACCGCTCTCCTGGCCTCCCTTCTCTACCCGGCCCTGGGCCACTTTGAGCATTAGCACATCATTCTGTTTACTTCGCCACTGGCAGACAGCAGCCAAGACCTCAGGACATGGGTCAGGTGCAGTGGCTCATGCCTATAATCCTAGCCTTTGGGAGGCTGAGGTGGGAGGATTGCTTGAGGCCAGGAGTTAGAGACCAGCCTGGGCAACATAACGAGGTTCCATAACTACAAGAAATTACAAAAAAAATAAAAAGAACAAAAGACCTCAGCAGAAATGGCAAGAGATTTGGGCAGGTCCCAGGACCCTGGGGTAGGGAGGGAGGTTGGCAGGGCTGATGAACCCTGCCCTTCTTGGGTTGACCCCTCTGGACACATAGACCATGACCCTGGGCCTCCCTTCACCTCCAGGAGCTCATTGGCGAAACTGCAGGGAAGCCAAACACAGGTCATACAGCTGGAATGACCAGGTGCCTCTTGCCCTTCCACTCCCTGCTCCATGCTGTCCCAAACTTGGGGAGCCCAGGGGGCAGTTAGAGCTCAGCAGGGTCCTGGATCCCCAGGGAAGCAGCATGTCGGCCTCCCTGAGCACCACCTCCTCCTCACACAGGTGGTCACGGACCTCAGGCTGTGGATGCGGCTGACCTGCTCCACATTCTCGGGCCTCCTCTGGGAGTTCATCAGGACCATGGTGGATCAGGCAGAGGCATGAGTCTCCCAGGGACAGCCAGGGGGCAGAGGGAGGTGTGGTGGCAGCCTGAACAGCAGACCTAGGTGGCAGGGGTGAACAGGGTGGGGGTACCAGGTCCCGGGGGACAGGGGTATCCCAGAACTCCAGGATCAAGGCAGAGCAGCCAAGAGTGGGGCATTTCCTGCAGGCTCCGATACTCCCATGCCAGTCTAGCTCAGCAGGCAGGAGAGACTCACCCTTTGTGGGCGGGTGTGGTGTCATGACTATAATCCCAGCACTCTGGGAGACCGAGGCAGGTGGATCACCTGAGGTCATGAGTTTGAGACCAGCCTGGCCAACATGGTGACACCCCGTCTCTATTAAAAATACAAAAATTAGCCAGGAGTAGTGGTATGTACCTGTAATTCCTGCTACTTGGGAGGCTGAGGCAGGAGAAATCGGCTGAACCCGGGAGGCAGAGGTTGCAGTGAGCCAAGATTGCCCCAATGCACTCCAGTCTGGGCATCAGAGTGAGACTCTGTCTCAAAAACATTAAAGTGAAAGAAAACTCACCCTTTGCAGATTTGAGGGCAGGAAGCTAAGGCAGTAGCTTGGCTGTGGCTGGAGCAGCCAGAGTCACTTTTTACCTTGCCTGTGCCTCATGTCTCCCATCCCATGTCTGGTGTCCCCACCCAGCCCATCTGGCAAAAGACAGATGCAAAGGCTGCCTCCTGTTGGCCTCATCCCAGGTTTTGGCTTCTGGGACCTGGTGTCTTTGGGTCTGGATTTGTTCCTTGCAGACCTGGAGGAGGAGCTGCTGAGGAGTCTCCAAGTGTTGGAGAGACCCCTCCTCTTCTTCAGCTCCCTGTGACCCATGTTTCACAGACCTGAGAGGAAACAAGGGCACACGAATTGTCACCCTGGAGGTGGGGCAGCTGCTAGGAGGAAGAGGGAGTGTCTGCTACTGAGTTCAGGGTTTCTTTCTTTTTTTTTTTTTGAGACAGAGTATCACTCTGTCACCCAGTCCAGAGTGCAGTGGTACAATCTCAGCTCACTTCAACCTCTGCCTATTGGGTTCAAGCAGTTCTCCTGCCTCAGCCTCCCTAGTAGCTGAGACTACAGGCATGCACCACCATGCCTGGCTAATTTTTGTATTTTTAGTACAGATGGGATTTCACCGTGTTGGCCAGGCTGGTCTTGAACTCCTGACCTCAAGTGATCCACCCGCCCTCGCCTCCCAAAGTGCTGGGATTACAGGAGTTAAGGTTTTAATTTTATTTTTTTTTTTGAGACAGGGTCTCACTTTGTCGCCTAGTCTTGATTTCAGTGGCTCGATCTCGACTAACTGCAAACTCAACCTCCTGGGTTCAAGCAATTCTCGTGCCTCAGCCTCCCAAGCAGCGGAGATTACAGGTGAGTACCTCCACATTCAGCTAATTTTTGTATTTTTTTCAGTAGAGATGGGTTTTACCATGTTGGCCAGGCTGGTCTCAAACTCCTAAGCTCAGGTGATCCGCCCACCTCGTAATCCTAGCCAAAGTGCTAGGATTACAGGCATAAGCCACTACGCCTGGCCTAATTTTTAAATTTTTAACTTTTTAAATTGTTTTTAGAGATGAGGTCTTGCTCTGTCACCTAGGCTGGAGTGCAGTGGCTTGGTAATAGCTCACTGCAGCCTCAAACTCCTGGACTCAAATAATCCTCCCACCTCAGCTTTCTGAGGAGCTAGGACCACAGTAGCAAATTTTAAATTTTTTTTTGTAGAAACAAGGTCTCGCTGTGTGGCTTACACTGGTTTCAAACTCCCAGCCTCAAGTGATTCTTCCCTCTTGGCCTCCCAAAGTGCTGGGATTACAGGGGTGAGCCACCGTGCCCGGCTGAGTACAGAATTTCTTTATGGGGTGATGAAAGTCTTAAGTTGCCTGTGGTGATGGTTGTACACTAAAGAGTAAACTTGAACTGAGTACATTATATGTGAATGATGTCTCAGTAAATCTGGTTTGTTTAAAACAACAAGCCGGGTGCAGTGTCTAACACCTGTCATCCCAGCACTTTGGGAGGCCAACGCAGGTGGATCACCTGAGGTCAGGAGTCTGAGACCAGCCTGGCCAACATGGTGAAACCCTGTCTCTATGAAAAATACAAAAAATTAGCCAGGCATGGTGGCAGGCGCCTGTAATCTCAGCTTCTTGGGAGGCTGAGGCAAAAGAATCTCTTGAATCCGGGTGGCGGAGGTTGCAGTGTGCCGAGATTGTGCCACTGCACTCCAGACTGGGCACCAAGAGAGAAACTCTGTCTCAAAAGCAACAACAACAAAACAGGCAGGTGTGGTGGCTCACATTTGTAACCCCAGCCCCTGGGAGGCCAAGGCAGGAGTATTGCTTGAACCCAGGAGCTTCAGACCACCCTGGGCAACATAATAAGATCCCATCTTTACAAAAAATTAAAAATAAGCCAGGCATGGTGGCATGACCCTGTAGTCCCAGCTACTCAGGAGGCTGAGGCAGGAGGATCGCTTGAGCCCAGGAGACGGAGGCAGCAGTGAGCTGTGATCGTGCTACTGCACTCCAGCCTGGGCGACAGGGCGAGACCCTGTCTCTAAAAACAGAACAACAAGAAAACACGAGCATCACTCACAGCACATCACTCTGCCTCTGCCCTGCCTACCTGGATGAGGGGCACGGTGTCTCACCTGCTCAGAGCAGCTCTTGAATGGCCCCAGCTATTTCTGGGGTCCTCAAACGAAACCTCCCATGGCCAGGTCATACCCAACACGAGCCTCTTCCCCTCTTCTGGCCCCCGCTCAGAGATGCCGAGTGGCAGAGGCTCAGGCTTTGGGTGTTCCTGGTAAAGCCTCACCCCAGGAGGCCCCACAGCTCAGGCCCAGTCCTTGGTTCACATGGCCCCACTTCTGGCCTTTTTCCCTTAATTGCAATTTGTCCCTGGGAGATCCTGGATCCCTCATTCAGGTCCAGTACTGCAGGGCAACCCTTCTTCTCAGGCTGACCCAGGCCTGCAGAGTCCCACTGTCACTGGCAGGCCTTGCCTCAGCCTCCACCCAAGCCCCTACGCCTCCTCTCCCACAGGGAATATGACATCCTCTTCTGGGGGCACACCCACCTACAGAGGGCCCAGCCCATCCACTGGAGCCACTGGATCCTGAGGTGAGCTGGCTGAGGTGCAGGGGCCATGCTGGAGGGGTGGACCCTGGCTGCCCTGACCTTCCTGCCCCTGGCTTCCCACAGCCATGCCATGGCGCTGACCTGAGACTCTGAATGGCTGCTGGAGATGCAGAAGCAGATCGATGTCCTGCCCTTGGTGGGTAAGGCTCCAGTGCCCTGAGGGCCTGGTGGGGGTGGCTGCTGCATAGCCTTAGGGATTGACAGTCAAGCTGGGAAGGGCAGAGTGGGACAGAAAGCCGAGTTATCCGCTCAGAGGGGGACCCTGCAT